TATATTGCAAACTGAGACCAGAAAGACACCGGAGCATGACGATCACATGCCTTTTTTAATCGTGTCATGTTTCTCTGTTGCAGCAGCTCAGTTTACCTGTGATGACGTTTATGTCAGGATACGTGTTTTCACACAGCTCCATGGCGTAGCTGTCCCTCTCGAACGCCTCACGAAGCTCCTTCTTCACCGCCGCGGATCCACACAGGCGGTAGAGACCAACCACCTGGACACACACACACACACACACACACACAAGTAGGTCAAATAAACATGGATGGCTCTCGAGTCAAACAGTTGACGGAGGGGCAGACATCTTTACAGCCTCATCGATCACGATCTGCGTCAGAGCTCAAACAACGTGCTGGACAGGAGCCAAAACCACTTGCACAGAAAAACAAAAAACTCCAGTCGGCTGTCTCTCCACAGAATGACACCTTATTTGGATTAATGACTTTTTTTAAAAAATATAACCATCAAGCCTCACTCCTTCACAGGACACCCAGTGTGACACAGATCCAAGCTAACACAAGCCTCGAAATCCCTGTGGAGACTGACTCATGACTCAAAAGTCACAAATAAAAGAAGCCGGCATCATTGGCGACCAGCAGCAGCTCCCTGTCCGGTATCTTTTATTGCAAACCACTGAAACAAACTGGATAAAGTCAAAATTGTCTTGAATTGACTGACCACCAGCTGCCTCCTCTCAGCAGAGACAGACAGAAGTTTCAACATGTTCATTTGAATAAAACTCTTCCTGAACATAAAACCTGCAAAAATGAAATCTATACATCTGACCGTTACGAGATGATGATAAAAGCAGCACTGGTTAAAAAAAGACCCCGGATCAGTGAAGTGACACCGTCAGATATTAACCTCCACCAAGGAGGTTATAATATCAGCACCATCTGTCTGTCTGTCTGCAGGATTACTAAAAACCCACTGAAGCAATCGCCATGAAATTCTAACAATTTTGGAGCAGTTCAATTTTCTTTAACGCAGTGAGAGCTGAAACCCTGTTTCTCACTGAGGTGGTGAATGTGTTTTACTGCTTATGAATTCAACCTTTAAATGGAAAAAACAACAATTTTCTCATTTCATCTATCAAGAGTTATCGTCTCACGTTCAAAACTTTAAACTTTGTTCCAGAAAAAGCCGCCAGTGGCGTAATACTCAACACTTCTGAGGACACGGTTTCATCACTTGGCTCGTTTGAAAATGAAAACGTGCTCTGGGTCACACCAGGCTTTCGCTCTGAGGTGTAATAAAAGTGTCACGTCCTTATGACTGAAAAGATAAACAGTGCGCTGCTCTAAAAGCCGGGCAGACAGCTCCGCATTAAAAATGAAAACACTCGGCTATAAAACATTTATGTTTCTTCGCGCAGGAACTCCGGAGTGTGACCTGAAGGAACTCTGAAGCAATTTCCTCAAGACGTTGACATTTGATAGTTGAAACTCGGCACCAGTGGTCTCTTTGTTATGTTGGGATTAGGCCTGGCTACAGACATACCATAATTTCTCCTACATGTGTCTGTCTGGTATGTGGCATAGCAGACCAACTGGTGTGGTTGCCCCGGTAACGTGTTAAGTCAGTGGGCTGTGAATAGCGGGTTGAGAATCCAGAATCCACACAAACATACACTCACACACTCACACACGCCCTGCTGGCCTTTCCGGGCTCCAGCGTAGGAGCACGGCTAACGTCTCCCCGTCCCACCGGAGCAACTATTTGTGAGCTCTGCTCGTCCAGTCGAGCAGCGTTTTCTGAGCCTCACACGAGAGGCAGAGCGGAGGACAGATTAGGCCGGGATTTGGCTTTGTGTGAGAGTAAACACAAGTCACTGGGCACAATGAACAACAAGTCCATTCAGAAAAAAAAGAGAGCGTCCCTATGGGGGGAGAGCCCGAGTGCAGGCGAGGAACAGCTGTTAGCAAAAAGAGGGCTCGCACTCGTGCACCTCGGCTGCCGGGCAACACAACAAGCAGCACCGGCAGAGACCTGCATGTGGAGTGAGGCTGACACAATGACCACAAAACCAGGCCCCTCGAAGTGCAGGAGGCTCATTCAACTGAGCCCGTGATCAAATCGGCTTTTTAACTTTATTAAAACTAAATGAGAATAAAGGAAGGAAACAAAAGTGCATTTTGCTGCTTTAATCCCCGTCAACAAAGTCATTTACTCTCCATAAACATGAGTCACATTTCTATCAGGCACCGGCAGTAAAATCATTATCTGTTCTCACCTTGAAAACAATAACAAAACACCTTTTCTGGCACGACGCAACGAAAGGAATACAAACGCACGTACGTCCAAACACAAGCTTCTGGGAAGAGGCGACGAAAACCAGAAGACAAGAAATGGCGTGCAGACATTTCTCGTCTCCCGGTGCAAGGATTTCTCACATCTGTACACACACATACAGAGCAACAGGAGAGGAGACGTGTGCAGAGCCAAAGCTGGGCTACACCTGATCGTTATTACCATCATCTGATCAGCTTATTATTTTTTCAATTAATCTTTTCTTATGTTGTCTATAAATTATCAGAATATGTGAATTAAATGCAGATGTCATCTTCAAACATCTATTTATTTCCAAGTTCAAACACAAAATGAATAAAAACAGCCTTTTGTTTCTCTTTATATTTACAGATGTTGAGAGAGAAAACACAGATGTTTAATATCGCTGTCGACATGTTTGAAAAAAGCCCTTATTGAACATTTACGTTATGTAAACCCCCGAGAGTAGAAAATAATAACTACATTTATACATATTTGCATAAACAATATATATATCTTCTGTCAGGATTTTGGTTCTGTCTAAAATGATGCTGCTGTTTATCTGTTCATAACCGTGTTCCTCTTTCCCTGTCGTGCATGTAGGTTACTTCTCCTTTAATGGGCTCCCCAACAAAACTCCCGTCTCTGCAGTCCTTTCAAAACACCCACAATCCTCCTGCGTCATAAAAGCCAGAGGAAGCCCCGAGGACACGTAATTCTCCGAGACTCTGAAAGGGAGACTCCATTAAAGATCCACATAATCATTTGTGAAGCGCACGGCTACACGTCTGGCTGTTCGTGCTTCGGTGACACGACCCGAGCATTCTTCTGAGATCTGGTGTCAAACCCCGTCCTAACCCCTGCCTGCCAGAAACCTGGGGGGAGCACTTACACTTGATCTCTGACTGATACCCTGATACCCTCTGTGTAATTAAAGAAGGGGCGGGGGTGATTAGACGAAAAACACTGCGAGGGACACGAGACAAAAGTGTCAGACTGAATGGAGAGAAAAAACGGAGACAGAGACAAAAGAGGCAGATGAGGAGAGACAGAAACAGATGGGAGTCATAATATGAGCAGCACAGAGCGGAGCGAGTTAGAAACAGAGGAAACCTGAGAGAAGCGAGTGAGAGTGATGGAGTTTCAGTGAAGGCTTCAGCTCCAGCATGAGGAGGTCACAGAGGTGAACTTGACCGCAATACATCTCATACAGATTCCCCTCAGAGCGACAGTACCGACAACAGGACTTCTGGGAAGATCCAGCACGTGTATGCACACGATGCACTGGAGCACAAATATGACACAACACAACGTGAAGCGGTTTCACAACAGAGGGTCAACTTTTTGAAAAACCCTAAAAGCGAAAATTGAATATACATAAACCTTAAAGATCCCTTTTCTCAGTTTGGTTCTCACATTGAAGAATGAAAACTAAATGTGGTGTTGACATGTTTGGTTGATTTATCAAATTACTGCTGAACAGAAAATCAACTTTTTAATCATTAACTTTTGGTTCTTGAAGTGACTGAGGGCGGGGTCTAATTTGACAGACAGGCTGCTTTGGAGAGGTCTAATGTTTTGCCCTAGGCCCCCACTGCCCCTGGCATGTACCCCCCCCCCCATCAGTCAGGAGCAGTGTCCAGACACTTTTACTGCCGCTGTCTCAGATCTAATTAGGACGGAACGCCACTGCCTCTTTTTCTTATGTTCTTCAAAGAGGACATAAAGCACAGAAGGGGGGGCGGGGGAGTGGACGATCACATGATTTACTCCCACATCGCCACAACAACAGTCTGTCAATCCGGAGTCTTTCTCCTCTTTGGATAAAAGAGCGAGTTGCCCTCAGGAGAGCTCAGTGACATCACCATGCAGCGGAGCTCGTACCTAACGTCTCCTGTATCTTTTCTGCTCATGCCGGTCGCCCGGCGTCGTTACTGGCTGCAGGGTGAACACACACAACACAAAGCTGAAAGGATGCTCTGGATGTAGGATTACTTCTCTCTGCTTTTCTTTCACTCTCATGCAAAAATGCATTATAGAAAATGTCCCGCAGCCTTTTCTTCAAATTAATCCACTTCTATTTTTTATTTACACAACAGGATTAGAGTGGTTTTCATCCATACTTTCCATAAAATAAAATTGGTTCAGTGGATTTTGCGTAATCCTGCTCACAACAAACAAACAATGAAAACATAACCCCCTTGGTGGAGGTGATAAAAGCTGCAGCGTTAATCAGATTCACCCGGTTGACTTGTTAGTTGCAGGAGAGGTGAAACACATTGAACTCACCTGGCAGCCTCTCTTCTCTATCTCGTTGATGCACTTGTTTATCAGCAGCGGTACCATCAGTCCCGTGTTCTCCCTCTCCACCACCCGCCACACCTCCACTCCAAACACCTGGGGCTCCCTGTCTCCACCCAGCCGTCCGTCCAGCGAGTTCTGCCACTGCTCCATCAGGCTCAGCTTGACGTAGATCAGCCCCCGTGGCTCCAGCTTCACCGCCAGCTGGTGGGACCGCGTCACCCGGAAGAGCGCGGGCAGCACCACCGTGCCGTGGCAGCAGACGCGGTTTCGTCTCGGCGTGGGCTCCCAGCTGAAAACCACCAGCTTCAGGTGCTGGGCGTTCTCCAGCTCAATGTTGAACGTGTGGTCCATATCCAGGAAGGAAGTGCGACACGTGAGGAGAGCGGTTCGGGCTTTGTTGACCGAGTCCACTTGGATGGCGCAGTAGACGTCTCGAGAGTCGATGCGTGGAGGTTTGAGGTCCTCGGCACCGTAAAAGTGCAGACTCATGAGTCCAGAGATGTATTGGCTGCACTTGGGCTGCTCTGTGAAGCTGTAATGTCTGAAAGCATCGATGTCCAGCTCGGTGCCGTTGAGTTTCGAGCTTCCGCCTCCTTCCACCTCCTTGCCTTTCCCTCCCTTCCCCTCCGAGGTGCTGTGCTTCCCAGATTTGGCCACCAGCTCCGGTGAGTCACCATCACTGAGGTAACCACCTTTACTGGCGGACTTCGAGCTGCCGTTGCTTTTCTTCTTGCTGAAGCTGTGCTGCATGGACACACTGCTGTCCAGGTGGTAGCGCGAAATCACGTTACGGCTAGCCTGCCCACCGCCAGACGCCGCCAACCGCGGAGGGCCTGAAGTTTGGGAGACAGCCTCTGAGTTGTTTCTGGGGGAATGGGCTCGAGGCTCCAGCTGACTGCTGCCGTTGTTGCTGCTGCTCGGTGTCCCCTTGACGCTGAGTTTGCGGCTCAGCTCCGGGAGCTTCTTCATCCTCATGGAGATCTTCCTGACGGTGCGCGGGGACTTGATCTTGTCTGGGAAGGACCAGTTGATGGAGCTGCTCTTCTTGGTCGGGTTTGGGCTGGAGGGAGGCGAGAAGCCGACGGCGTTGGGCAGCTCGGCTCCATCTGCAGAGGAAATAACAAAGCAAGAGAAAGCTTGGTTAAAAGGGGAGGCCGGCGTGTTTTGAATTTTTGAATTTTCTCCGACACTTGGTTTCAGCAACTGTTCAGAAGATACAAAGGAGAAAAAAGACTGAAAAACCAAAAAGCCATAATTAACAGTCTCTTAGAAAAGCACTACACCTCCGCAGCACATCAAGCGATTAGATTTAAATGCAACCCAGAAATCCTCTGACAGATTTAACACTGAGCTTCACATAAACATTTCAGCACTATATAATAAAGTTACAGTCTATAGATGTAAGCCTAGACAGTCATTTGTCTAATTGACGGTTTTAAAGAAACAGAAACAAAATATTCAATCACCAGGAAGTTTCTACGAGGCCTTGAATGAACTTTATTCAGATTTTAGAGGAACGTCATTAGCTGCAGCTTCAGTAAAGACGATGGGAAACGTGTGGGTGGAGACATTAAACTTAACTCAGTGATTATTCAGGATGGGCTGGACCTTGAAGGCAGCTCTCGCCCAACTAGACGTCTACACCGTGAAATTTCAGGGTCTAGAACATGTTTAGTCTACTGTAGTGAAGTGGCAGCCACACTGACATGACACATTATCACTTCATGAAGTGGTTTAGGCCAATCTGTTCGCCACGGAGCAACGCTGACATTTGTTTAGAGCGGTGTTGATGGAAAGCAGGAAAACATTAAGTCCAACGTTTAGTTAGCTGAGTTTTGGTCTCCGTCTTCCACTGAGGTAAATGTTTGGTTTTTAGCTGCTTGAGCTCCACTATGATCTGCAGTTAGCAATGGACAGGTAGCATACAGAGTTTGTTGAGCATAGACTTTATATTAAGATGGATGATATGACAGTTCCCCAACAATGATGCCAAACCATCTCTATCACCCCCTGGTGGCTCTTATTGATTTTATGTCCAGATTTTTGCCAAACTCAAAACCCTGCTCTCAAATATCCCCTGCTTGTGCTTAGATTTGCTCTGCTTGCGCTCAAGCTGCGCGCTTGCACTCAGATGTTTAGCTGCTCGGACAAAGTTCATCCACCAATAGAACACCAGGTGTATTGTTGACAGATAAAGTTGTCCAGCCCTTTGTTGTGGGTGCATTAGCTTTACTTCTTTAGGACCTGGAGTGCATGAACCCGGTTAAAGAAACCGTTGGCACACGACTCTCAGACAGCGTTTGAATCCAGGACATTTTGTCCTTCTTTGTGGATAGTGGGAGGAAGTGGAGACGCGTAGTCTGTGAGTTAAAACAACTGGAAATGACTCTGATGAGAACAGTGAGTGAATCCAAAGAGTACAGCTGAGGGCAACAAAACCAAAACAATGAGCTGAAAGACACCAAAACAACCGTTGCATTGAATAATGGTTCTCAAAACTGTTTTCAGAGGCACACTGATCCATTGTTCGTATAAAAATACAAATTAGAGCCAGTGAATTATTGTCTGAACTGTTTCTTATCTGTGCAGCCTGTATGTCCACAGTCATATCACTGACAATAACAACAGATAACAATGCACCTTGCACATCGTTACTGTCCAGTCCCAGCAGCACAAACATGTACTTCACAGAATCACATCTACTACACTGTTAAAGAGCCCCATCACTCGACTAGACGAAATCCTTTCAGTCATTTTCTAGGTTGAAAAAAATCTGCCAGCCTCGATTTGAGTGATTTACATGGAATTTGTCAAATTCTGGGCATCCTGCTATTCTCCCAACAGGAGGCGTGGGCCTCTCTCAAACAGAAAAACATTCAGGGCTCTTTTAATAAGATTTCCTCTGTGGCTAACCTGTGCTTTATAATCTTTATTGGTAATACTTCACTGCGTGAGTTAATGGGAGATTAAGGCTCGACCACATGACTTAGTGGCAAGAATTTAACTTTTGAAGATCTGTTGCGTGAGTGCTTCCAGACCTGGCCTAGATATTACACAAGACACAGAGTCGAGGGGCTGAAGCGATATTAAGACACTCAATACTTTTATTGTGATGTAAATTTTTACTTGGATCCGCACTTCAAATGAAAATGCACTTATTGTTTTAACTGGCTAATTACTTTCTCTGAATAAATCTCAGAAATAAAGGGTGATTCTGACGGAGAGATAGAGAGAAGAGCGAGGGAGAGCACGACCCTGCCAACATCACCAGCTCTATTTTCAGAAGGGACCTGCTGTGCTATTCTGGGACGAGGGTCCGCGAGTGAAAAGGGAGGGAGGCCGAGGATGGAGAGAAGGGAAAGATGGGGGGCAGGAGCAGGGCAGGGTGTAGCCTGCAGATGGGGGACAAAGGCGCCCCTTGTCCAGGCTCTCAGAGGTCTGGATGGGCGACTGGAAGGCTGGCAAGCCGGCTGCTGAATGTACAAATGAACACGGCTGTTCTCTCACATTCCAAACCAAAACCATGTTTAGCCTCCTTTTTTCCCCTCGTAGCTGAATAACTTTCCCTGTCACAGCTTCCTGCCAATAATAGACACAGAGGCGCTCTGAGAAGAGGGGCGGAGGTGCACTGGAGGTGCAAATTCACCCGAACAACATCTGGGGAGGGGTCGGGTAAACAGGGAGGTGCTGCTCGGGTCTGAAAACAGAGAAATCACTTGTAGAGGAAACACAGTTCAACTATTTATTCTTATATAACCTGAAGCTCTCTGAAGAGTATCTACAAAACAAACTGCTCTGGAATGTGTTGAATATTTGATAGACATCTACTGAACAGTCTTTGGTGCACATGCTGTAAAATGCGTCACATTAAGTGAGTCTGGATGTGGTCGGATAGAAGATGCCGTTGTTGCCACCAATGTTTTTTCTACCTCTGCAAAAGATTTTCCACTGCCTCGGATTTTGTTTGATGACAAATAGATCATCAATCAGATCATTTCTTCAAGACAATCATGTGTAGGATTGTTCGGACTTGGTGGTGGTATGAGCTGTTGTGTTTATTTACAGTAATTAGACTCCTGATGAGGGAATATCTCAGCAAGTAAATATGATAAGTGTATGACCGATAATTGGATACCAACTTTTGGTTCTTCACACTTCTTAATACTTGATGTTACTTCACAAAGGTTCAACAGTCAGTTCTAACTCTAACATGTTTATATAATAGGAACATTTTTAATTTTAACCAAAATGCAAAATCTGACAACATGAAAAATCACAATAATTCAAATACAGTCTCCTTTTTATCAATATGAATAAATAAGAACGACCCATATTGATGCCTGTTTACTTCTCTTACCCTCAAACACAAACTGTAAAATCCTTCAACTGTGAGAATCCAAACAACTTCCACCAGAGTTTCATTTCTTTGAAAATCCACATGAACTGGGGCAACGTCCACCAGCTTCTGACAAAGTTAATGACTGTTGCATTGTTAATGACTGTGGCTTCAAACACACACACACACGGAGCAGTGTCTTCCACAGCCTTTGGCCTTGTGGCAGCAGCCATGAGAGTAACGTGACACCTCACTAGCTGAGGTTCAGGGGCGATGGTTTGACACCCAACCCTCCAGGGCCATGTTCCAGGGTCAAAGGGCAAAAGGTCCACATTCCTCTGGGTGACACCTGAGCTGAGCGACTGTGTCCAACCCCCAAACACTTTAACATGCACATGCACTCGGCATATTACTGTAGCGCAAAGAGAGAGTGCATGTAAATATGCAAACATAAAGACAAACACACACACACATGCCCTCGCTGACCCTGTGGCCCTCCTCAGGCATCCGGCCACTGACACCTCTTAACAAAGGTCAGGAATTTATGAGGAGGGTTTATCACAATGCTGGCACCAGACAGGTGCAGGACGAGAGAGAGTGTGTGTGTGAGTGTGTGAGAGTGTGTKTGTGTGTGTGTGTGAGTGTGTGTGTGTGAGAGTGTGTGTGTGTGTGTGTGTGTGTGTTTGTAATTGTTACGGACTCACTATTTAATTTGGCAGATTTTTACAACAAATAAATATAATAAATAATAATGGTGGTGGTCGACTTATTATACATATATATATTTTGTATAATATAATTATACAAAAAAAAGTTGGTGCTTGGCCAACAAATATGTGACGATGTGTATTTGTGTGTTTGTTTGTGAGAAAGTCGTTGATAGACACTGTCAACACTTGTGAGGAGACAATAATCTGCTGATTCCCGGTGTCAAACCACCGCTCACTCGAGTGTGTGGGTGTGTCCGTGGAAGCATGTCAGCCAGACGTGCTTCCACGTGCTCCCAGTGTAAAAACAGAAAGGTCCAGAGTGTGCTGACAAACAAGGGGAGGGTAAATAAACGTGTGAATGGCATACTTGTGCCGTGGTTTCTTCGCTCGGTGACCGAGGCCCCGGCTCTGCGCTGCTTCCTCTGCTGTCGGCTCTAAATCAGTCCACAGTGGAAGGCCTTTCAGGGGCCGTTTCATTACAATGGTTACAAAACCCCTGCTAATATATCCAAGCATGCAGGCCCTCTCACTAGCACAACATGGCCCCCTGCCAACGCTGCCCTCATGTAGTCTTAACTCGCCTACTGCTGGAGGCATTCCTGCTCTGCTGCAACTCAACCGACAAGAGCGGCTGCTAATTCTGGACAGTTACCCCCCCGGCCTCCTCGAGCCACCGCCGTCCAAACAACATGAAGGCACTGATGGGAAATTAATGATGTGTTGACAAATAACTTATTTTTATCTAAAAAAAAACTGTTCGGCACTAAACGACTACTGGAAATTTGATCCTAATTTGATGATGTGATTTCACACAGCAGCTCTGCCAAGTTAAATTGCTTCCTTATTGCAAATGAGTGAATGAATTGAAAAATTAGACGACATTAGGCATAGTTACTATTAGGATATATAAATACATCTGGATCTGTTGATTGATCAACTGGTCGTTAACATTGTTCATTGGAAATTTGTGGAAGAAAAAAAAAGCCTCTAAAGTTTTACCAGTTGGGAAAAGTGGGTTGGTTTTAATAATCACCAGCGAGACTGAAACACACAGAGTCTGGATGAAGCTGGAGGTCGTATTGAACAGCTGGACACGTTTCATCATTCACCGTGTTCGATTTCCACCTGCAGGCCGAAACACTTCTCATCAAACACTTGGTCAGCAGAACGCTCCACCAACTGAACTACACAACGAGAGTCATGACCTTCTCTTCCTGTAGAATCTGTTAAAGTGTTAAACCAGATAGAATTACAGTTCCTCCAGCTGCTCTGGTGATGAAGTGAAGAACAGACCGGAGAGAGAGAGAGAGCTACGAGGCCTGAAGAGCTCTTCTCACAATGTTCCTCCTCCGAGCTGTTGACTTCCTCCGGACCTAACCGTGCAATCGTCAGCCTAGATTAGATTCCAGGTTTGAACTCGGAGGCTTGAACTCTCAAGTAACTTTAGCAGCCGGGGGCCAGCTCTTAAACGCGGCAGCCAGCCCGACCAAAACAACCCCCAGAAATAGCTCGGATCCTGTTCTGAGCGCCGGCCAACTCAAGATTCCCCGAACAGACGCTGAAGGGAACAAGAGATCGGGAGCGCACCGCTGCTCACCACCCCCAAAGTCCATCAATCATTATTCTCCATACAAATAGAGCATTCAGATGGACAAAAAGTCGAGTCAATAGGCAGCGCATGAGGAGTCTGGAGTGCATCCGGTGAGGGAAAAAGAAGCAGCCAGTCGTAAGAGGGAAACTATGGCCACAGAGAGTCATCTACATCTGCACCGCTTCATTAATTCACTCGAGCTCAATCAACGAGAGGCCTGTCGAATTTCTGGCCTCGCAGATAAAGTGGAGTCTGTGTGCAGATGGGAATCGTGAAGCAGCAGACACAGAAATGTGTCGCTGCACATTGAAGACTTTCTCAAAGTTCGTTATTCACTCAGAGGCGTTGGTGCTTTCCCCAGAAAAAAGTGGTGAGGTTCCTCATTATGTGATATTTACAACATATCAACTGTACTTTAATATTCAATCTTCACATTTACATTCAACAGCACCCGACTTTGTTTTAAATATTCTTCAACCAAATAAGATGCATTTACAACAATGAGCTATTTCACTGATTTTCCTTCCACTTGTTAAAACTCAGAGGAACTGATTCGACAGTGGGTGAGTGAACAGCTCATATTTCAGCTGGTGTTCAGAGTATATGACACCATAGTTCAATGTATCTGATAAATACAATGAAAACAAACAGAATGAGTGAAAGGAAGTTTGTTTAACTCATTAAATGTCCCCTGAACAGCCCCAGTTTGACACTGACGGCAGAGCAGAGCTGCCCACAGAGAGCTGTTGTCCTTATCACTCCTGCCCACCATCCCCCAACACTGCAACCAGCTCAGAGAGGAGGAGGAGGAGGAGGAGGAGGAGTGCAGTGTCATTCTGCAGCTAACACAAACTGTGTTTGCAGCAGCCACAACACACACACACACACACACACACACACACACACACACACACACACACACACACACACACACAC